CAGAAGGCGTGAAGAGTGAGGGGGCTGCTTTACTTTCAGGGGTTGAATATTCCATAAGGTGGGAGCAAGAGCAGAGAAGGATGTCTTCCTAGACCCCAGCAGTCTGTTCTGACCCAAACCCTTTTCCAATAAAACAAACACGAACCAAAGGAAACAACCTTTTAATGATTATTACAAATCCCCGGTTAAAAGGCTGCTGCAAACTAATTCACTTTGATAAGCACAAGCCTCGCCAAAACTGTGCAAGGCTGCCAAGAATAACAGATAAGAGATATTTTACAACACAAGAGTCTTCAAATACCAACTTAAGATACTGCAATGTCCACGAGGCTGAGTTTCAAAACATTTTTGCTTCCTGCAAAGAACGTCTGATTCACAGCTGGCTTTTATCTTCTTGAAGGAGGGGCCATTACTATTCAGCCTTACTCCTGAGTCGCCCATGCTGTTGCAGCTGCTCTTTCCTAAGAGCCACCCTATGCACATGCGTACTTGGCACAGGCTCCTTGGGAACCTCCTCATCGCTGCTGCCAGCCCCCACAATCTCTGAAGGCAGCAGTCCACTCCCTAATGGTCCTGGTCCCTCATCTGAGTCCTCGCTCTCCTTGCATCTGCACCTGCGGCTGGCTAACCACAACACAGTCAGAACTTTTTTAACTGATGGGATCGGTTAGGGTGCACAAATGTAGAAAAGAAGAGCAACCTTCTAACTTGATATATCAAGCAAGCACAGGTACGGTCTTACCAAATTTAACAAGGACAACTGCATTGTAATCTGCTTGTCATTGATATACAAGCCATTGTTGTTGTTGTTCAGTCCCTAAAGTCATATCTGAATCTTCACAATCCCATGGATCATAGCATGCCAGACTCTCCTGTCCTCCATGGTCTCCTGGAGTTTGCCCAAATTCACATTCGTTGCGTGGATGACACTACCTAACCATCTCATTCTCTGCTGTCCTCCTTTTCCTTTTGCCTTCCATCTTTCCCAACATCGAGGCCTTTTCCAGGGAGTCTGCTCTTCTCATTTGTTGGCCAAAGTGTTTGAGCTTCAGCTTCAGGATTTCCCCTTCCAAGAACAGGCGGGGTTGATTTTCTTTAGGATTGATTGGATCTTCTTGCAGTCCAAGCGACTCTTCAAGAGTTTTCTCCCTACAATCGAAAAGCAATACAAGCCATTGTGTACAAATATATCTGTGTCTATCAAACAGATTCAGGAAGCACCTATTCGTACTTCAGCTGTTAAGCCCCAATGAAGTCTAGCAAATGGAGAGTTGGTGCACGATTGCTGTTTTTCTAGGACATCCTTCCCATGATAAAAAAAACCCTCATATTCTCCATTTAACTGCCAAAACTGGATTATATATTTTGAGGCCGAATCCCTGAGGTAGCAGACTAAAAGCTGTGGACACCACTGTGAGGATAACATGTGATAGCTCCAGATTCACACAGAGCACAGCAGGGAGGTGAAACTGGAAGGCTAAAAGAAAAGCACAGAGCTAAATTATTGAGCCCCCGCCCCCCGAATTATTTTTATATGAGCCAAGAAAAGAAAGTCACATAATGGGAAGTTTGGAAATATTTTTTTTTAAAAAAAGGCAGGGCTGCAAGTGATCTGGGTCTTTCAGAATTATTTAATAGGGATGCAGACATTTTTTTAAAAAAAGATGTATTTGTATTTTCCAGCAGCAGCTGTAGTTGTGCGTGGATGTGGTGTTTTTTTTTTTTTAATGCATGGTTGGGGAAAGACCACGTGCTCTTTCATAGGAAAAGTCTTAGTTTAATCTATGGGTCACTGGTTAAGCCGCCTGGGAAAAATCTTAGCTAGGAGATTAGAAGATTATGCTGTACGGGCTACACAGAGCTAGAATTAAAGTATGAAATTGTGTGTCTTGGGAAAAGGGAGAAGAGTAGGGTTTTGTTGTTTTGGTTTTTTTGAGTCTTTCAAAACATCCGGGCAGTGTCTTTCAAACTTGGCAACTTTAAAATGTGTGGACCTCAACTCCCAGAATTCCCCAGCCAGCATGGCTGGCTGGGGAATTCTGGGAGTTGAGGTCCACATATCTTAAAGTTGTCAAGTTTGAAAGACATTGCATCAGGGCTATTGAATGAATGTAATTGAAGGAGAACGAACAAAAGAAAGCATTACTTTTGAAAGTCCTGGAATTCATTATCAAATGTAGTAATAATAGCCACTACATTGTGGGGACTTTAAAGGGAGATCAGATAAACTCGTGGTGGACAGGTGTGTTGAACAGCTATCAATCTTGAACATTTGATGTTGTTTCTGAGTTGGAGCGGCATGCTAGCAAGAACAATGCAGAAAACTATCAGAAAACCAATAGAAACACCAGTTTTATTACCCTAAAAAGAACAGAAGAGAGCAAATCATGGTTGGCTTATCAGAGTCAAATATTTAGTGGTTTTTCTTCTATTTAAACATGATGGAATAATGGAGAAAACAGCAGGGATCCAAAGCATTAACATCAGAAAAATGAATTTATGGCCCCACTTACACAGTGGATTGAAGATGTGATGGTACTTGAAATTTATGAACAATTTGTTTACAGACAGATTATAAATGGATATGCTTGAAATGTGTAAAACTAAACAGACAGACAGACATGGATAGATAAATAGATATAGATTGACAGACAGACAGAAAGATGAGAGTGAGATGATTAGGTAGGTAGGTAGATTAGGCAGACAGGCAGGCAGGCAGGCAGGCAGACAGAAGAAAGAAAGATGAGAGAAAGATGATTATGTAGGTAGGTAGATAATTAAATGAAAGATTAGATAGATTGATTGATTTATAGCTATATATTGATTATATTGCTTTTATCTATTTTGTTTACCTTTTTAAAAAATCTCTGTCTTTTTTTTTTTAAATAAAGTCAAGAATGGAGTTGTATTTCAGGGGTATGTCCATAGCAATTTTTCTGCATTTTAGAACATTTCTTTGAGATATGTCTTAGATTTCTTCAAGGGATGCAAGCTTCTCAACCTGAAAATATTTTGTTTTACATTAAAAATAGTTCCATTGTTTAAAATAAATAGTTCTATCCCCTTGTTTAATCCCAATCTGAAAGCATCTAACAACCATAAAATATAAGTATACTTTGTAAAATTGATCCATAAATGTGACAGAAATCTTCATTCGTGTGTATGAGGAATGGGTGACTTCTGTATCTTTCTAAATTAATAGTTTGAGTCGAACAGAATAACTGAGTTGGAAAAGACCTTAGAGGTCTTCTAGTCCAACCCCTACTCAAGCAGTGGACCCGATACCATTTCAAATAGTTGACTAATCTCTTCTTTAAAACCTCCAGTGATGGAGCACCTACAATTTCTGAAGGCAAGCAAGGCTACTGATGAGGATTGCTTGGAACTGTGATTAGAAACATACGGAAGACTGTCAGTTGCTTACATCCACCATAGAATAGTAGGCATGTCAAATCTCTTCTTCACATTTGGCTATTCACCTCGCTGGCTTCAAGCTTGAGTCTACTGCACTATATTGTGTTGATATCTTCTATATATATAAAAGCAAAATACCATTCATGCATCATCACAAAATCTCCAGAACCGTTAAGCCTTCAAACTTGAAACTTGGCACGTATGTTCCTCTTGGCCTCTAGGTGCTCATTAAGAAAGGATTTTTTGAAATGACCACCAAAGCATTAGTATCTCCTATATTATTATTAACACGCTCTGATGCTAAGGAGTTCTACTCCCCCTCCCCACCTGAAAAGAAATCTGTTCCAAATGCAAAATACAAGCAGAGGAGAGGAGTTTCAGTTTCATTTTCAGAGCAGCATTTAGTACAGAACAGTTGAGCTAAGCCACGCCCAGGCTCCTTGCTGTCTCCTTACATAGCAAATACTGTTTCAGTTTCCATGTTTCAGTTTCCAAACAGCCCTCAACTCTCATACACTGACAGGACGCTAGCCAGATGAATACCGATGGATGCTGGACAGAATTCCCCCCCTCTTTTTTTTTCCTTCCCAAAAACTAAGCCCGACCACATAGTTTCATAGCGAAGCATGGGTATCAAGCTAATTTAAGTATAGTTTAACTGACTACATGTGATTTTGCTGCTATGCCATAAGTTCAGTTATTTTCCTGCATACTAGGAAAAAGGAAGGAAGTCATTAAAATGTGTGCATCTGGCTGCAGCTGTCACCTTTCTCATTTCCTCTAAAGTGGGCATCCTGTGCAATGTGTGAGGTTTATTTTCTGACCTTCAAAGGCTCCTTGTGATTCAAATTCTACTCCAGCTATGGTTTTAGGAAATGTTGGAAGTTCAGAAACCCATAGAAAATGTTAAGAATAGAAATGGTGACCTTCTGGATCACACCTGTCCGATCTTTGTCTGAAATAGTACAGGGTTTCCTGCCTAAGCAGGAATTGGGATTAAATAAGGAGAACTGCACACCAGAAGAACTAGACGGAAGGACAGTTTTTTCCCCAACGCCATCACTCTGCTAAACAAATAATTCCCTCAACACTGTCCAACTATTTACAAAGTCTGCATTACTATTAATCTTCTCATCACTCCTTATCACCCATCCCCTCCCACTTGTGAGTAACTTTGTCACTTGTATCCTAATGATTTGTATGGACTGTTTCCTAGTATGATTTGATTGCTTATTGTATCCTATGACTATTATTGTGTGATACCCGATGATTCTTAACTCCTGACGAATGTATCTTTTATGTATACTGAGCGCATTTGCGCCAAGACAAATTCCTTGTGTGTCCCATCACACTTGGCCAATGAAGAATTCTATCTGTCTGTCTGTCTGTCTGTCTATCTATCTATCTATCTATCTATCTATCTTCTAACTATCATCTGTCTGTCTGTCTGTCTGTCTATCTATCATCTGTCTGTCTATCTATCTATCTATCTATCTATCTATCTATCTATCTATCTATCTGTCTATCTAGTTCCCACAACTCTCCTGGTGTGAAATGTGATTGTGGCTCCTGTTTTCTCTCGCCAGGTGGTTCCATTCCAGCTGCCATTGAAGAGATGCTCTGTAGTGGGCAATGGTGGGATTCTGAAAAACAGCCGCTGTGGCAAGCAGATAGATCAAGCGGACTTCGTCATGAGGTAAGCCGCCATTTTGGCTATGCTTCCCTCTCGTCACCTTCACCGTTTTTTCACGGTACAGGTAGTTACAACGGCACTGAGAAAGGTGACTCGAAACCATTTCTCACAGTTATAGCCATTACAGCCTCCCCGTGGTCATGTGATTTACATTTGGAGGCTTGGCAACTGACTCACATTTACGACGGTTGCAGTGTCCCAGGGGTTCATGGGATCTGCTTTTGCGACCTTCAGACAAGCAAAGTCAATGGGGAAACCAGATTCACTTAACAACCATGCTTCTAGTTTAAGAACTTCAGTGATTCACTTAACAACTGTGGCAAGAAAGGTCATAAAATGTAGCAAACTCACTTAACAAATGTCTTGCTTGGCAACATAAATTTTGGGCCCAATTGTGGTCATAGGTCGAGGACTACAGCACAGTAAAATTGTTCCACTTGATTATCTCCTTCTGTCATACAAATATCCCTTGACTTAAAACCACCATTGGAACCAGAATTTCTGTTGCTAAGCAAGCCGGTTGTTAAGTGAGCCATGCCCAATTTTATGACCTTTTTGCCCCGTTTTTAAAGTGAATCACGCGTCTTTAAGCAAATCTAGCTTCCTCCAGTGACTTTGCTTGTTATAAGTACGCTGAATGGCTCCCGGAAGCTGCAACCATTGTAAATATATGCCAGTTGCCATGGGGATGCTGGGATGGTCATAAGTGTGAGGAGTGGTTGCAAGTTACTGTTTTCTGTGCTGTTGTAACTTTGATTGGTTGCTGAAGCAATTGTAAGTTGAGGACTATATGTATTGCAATTGCAATTCAGTAGACCAGAGGTCTCCAACCTTGGCAACTTTAAGACTTGTGGACTTCAACTCCCAGAATTCTCCAGCCAGAGCTGGCTGGAGAATTCTGGGAGTTGAAGTCCACAAGTCTTAAAGTCGCCAAGGTTGGAGACCTCTGCAGTAGACTCCTTCAGGATGTGTTCTGAGGTCATCCCAAGGCAGGATAGGCGTCCCATACTTCATATGGACTAGTAACTGAAATTTAGGAGTGTCCGATCTGTGCTGTTCTTCCACAAAGCTTTTGTTGTTTCTCCAGAGTGGTAGTTATATTAGAAATTTTGGCAATGAAGTCGTCAAATGTTTACAGTCGCAAACAGAGGCAATTCTTTCTATCTTCTCTTTATTTTCAGTCTAAGAGGCTGCTGTGAACATTTCACTTGCTAAGATCCAACGGATTTTGATTGCATTGCTTTTCCAGCCCACAATAATCCAATTATTGAGTTGGTTTCCAACAGAAAAAGGCCCTTTTATCTACTGCGATATGTTCTTCAAAGCAAGTTCCAGGGCATGCATATTTGACACCCACCATGGGATAATCATGTTACTTATTTTATGGATTGGATTTTATCTCTGAATGTATTTTTAATGTGCCCAGCCTAGAGAAGGGGAGGAGGAAGCCAGCATAAAAACAAGCTCTTTTCAGAACATATTAAAATAATTTTTAAAATACACAACAAGCTACAGATTTGGGGCTGCTGTAGAGTTGTCACAAAAATGATAATAACTCTAGTATAGTTAGTAATATAAATAGAGGGCAAACCCCACCCCTCTTCTAGCCTGATGATGTTATCTAGTTTGCCACCGAAACATCTGTAAGTCGTCTCTTACTGACCGCCTGTGTTCTGACCCGCGTCTTTTCCCAACAAATCAAAACACAATTCACAGGGAACAGAAACCTTTTAATGCTTCTGCAAAATAATATTAGCTGTGATAAGCACAAGCCTTGCCAAACTGTGCGAGACTGCCAAAAGATGACAGGCAAGAAATAATTTGCAATACAAGAATCTTCAAATGCAAACTCAGGATACTGGAATGTCCATGAGGCTGGAGTTTCCAAACGTCTTTGCCTTCTGCAAAGAACATTCGTTTCACAGCTGGCTTTTATTTTCTTGAAGGAGGGGCCATTACCTTGCAGTCTTATTCCTGAGTTGCCCATGCTGCTGCAGCTGCTCTTTCCTGTGAGCAATCCTGTGCACATGCGCACTTGGCACAAGCTCCTCGGGAACCTCCTCATCGCTGCTGCCAGCCCCCACAATCTCTGAAGGTCCCTAATGGTCCTGGCCCCTCATCTGAGTCCTTGCTCTCCTCAGCCATCCGCACCTGTTGCCGGTTAACTACAAGAGCCAGTTCAGTGACCGTTGAAGCTTTGACAGTGCTGGAAAAGTTGCTTTATGACTGGGTTTTTTAAAATTTGTAGCTATTGCAGTGTTCCCATGATCACACAACCACCCTTTTGGGTGTTTTGCAACTGGCATACGTTTATGATCTTCGTAATGTCCTGCAATCATATAGGGTTACCATGTACGAGTTTCAATTACTGGTTTCGAACAAGCAGAATTCAATAGAGAAGCCAGCAAGTCATGGTTGTGTGGTGTGGCTGATTCACTGAACAGCCACAGTGGAACCGATGTCACAAGTCCAGCACAGTCACATACCATTTCACTGAATGGCCACTTGGCTTAGCCACGGAGTTGCCAGTCCCAGTTGTGGTAGCAAGTGTACTTGGCTCAATGGGAATAATCTTTCTCTTAATAGATTTTTGACTTGAACAAATACATGAACACTAATAAGGGAGAATATTTGTTGTTCAGGGTTGACAGGGGTCCTTGGTTCTTTCTGATCTGGGTTGTTTTCTTGCAGATATCTCATTACCCAACTAGGTAACATCATCAGGGTTAGAATGGAGTTTGCTGTCAGTTTATATTCTAGTGGCTTCCCTGTCAATGTTGGTGGAGACGGTCTTAGAGATTCTTCAATTGGGCTGTTTGCTGTCGGCTTCTTTGTCAGTTTCTCGATTGTTTTCTTGACTGTTGGTCTGATGTTAACCTTGGAGTTAATCTATGCTGATTGCTGGTGGAGCTTTTCTTCCCTTTTGGACTGGGTGATAGCAGAGGTGGGCTGCTGGGGGTTCACAGGGATTCAGGAGAACCCCGAGCTAAAATTCTATGCAGTTCGGAGAACTCCCCAATTCCAATCCTGGCTGGCCCCACCCACCCCTCTCAAGAGTCCCCACGTGGCCCATTTGGGATGCAGGTAAGTGCAGGGTTGGCATGGAAGCTCAAGGAAGGCAAAACACGGGCCTCCTAGAAGTTCAAGAAGGCTGGAAATGGGCCCTTTTCCAGCTTCCAGAGAGCCTCCGGAGCCCGGGGAGGGCAAAAACGCCCCCCTCCCCACTGTGGTGCAGGAGGCCGACTAGGCCACACCCACCATGGCCACGCCCACCCAGCAACCAGGCAGAGAACCCTGTTGCTAAAATTTTTGAAGCCCACCCCTGGATTATCTCTTTTGCATAGTCTGAAGATGTTTCCTAGTTTGGGTAATGAAACATCTGCAAGAAAACATGGCAAGCTCACTCCTCAACTGTGTGAATGAACATAAAAAGTATGATTTATTACAGTTTCACTTTTCTTTTTTCTTCCCTTCAGATGTAACCTCCCTCCACTAAGCAATGCATACAGCAATGACGTAGGATCAAAAACTCAACTGGTAACAGCGAATCCCAGCATAATTAATAAAAGGTAAGGAGCCGATTGTCTGTTTCTTTTTCAATTCCTAGGCTTAGTACATAAGGGGAAAAAATGAGGCATGTTGCGGAGAGGGTTTAAAAAAAGAAAGAACGGAAAAGAGTACACCTATACTTGTTTTTTTTTTAAGTGTTAAAATTTGTATTAATCTAGAATTTATAAAAAGAATGTGTCATGGAAAGGGAATATGACTGACTAAAGAACCAACTAGATTAATAAGTTAATATAGACTATTAAAAGCAAGGGGAGAAATTGGTAACTTTATTATTATTGTTGTTGTTGTTGTTATTATTAGGTAAATTATTATCTTTATTTTTAAAATAAATATTAAAGGATTATATTTGAAATAATTAAAATGAAACAAAAAGATGTTTCGATTGAGATTAATGAAAGAGGCTAGAATTAATGTGTTTGTTTCTCTCCTTACTGAATATTTGGAATGGAAAAGGTGATAATAGAATTAAGTATGCATATATGAATGTATAATTGCTGTCATATTTGTATGTAAAGGTGATGACCCGGAAATATGTTGTCCACTCAAAAGAGATTTTTGTTTTTAATGTGAAAAACTGAATAAAATTTGTTTTGTTTTTTTAAAGAACAAAGGAGTTATTGTAACAAGGCAGATCACATCAATGATAAAGATAAAGAAAAAAAAATTAACCATTGCTCAATATACACTGTAAAATGTGTGTGTGTGTGTATTTTCTTAAGTTTTCGTGGGTACTTACATGTATGGCATTCAGCTTTGTTCGGGTATTTTCCCACATCATTGTAGTTGTGCTTTTAAAGTTGTAGCAACGTTTCGGCAGAATTCTCATCTGCTATCATCAGGCTTCTGTATAGTGTTCATCTGTGAGTCAGACTGAAATAGTGGTTTCAGATTTAAATTTGGGGCAGCCTATTGCTGTGCCAGAATGGTTTTTTCTTCATCCTGATTGGTTGGGAGTCTTGGTCTGTGTTTATTGGTCTTGGAGTTTGCTGTGTTCTGCTTGATTGATGTTTCTAATATCTTCTGTCTGTATTTGGGCTCTTTTTGTATCTTGATTGGCTGGCAACATTGTGTTACTTTATTGGAGGCCTTTAGTGCAGCTTGGCTCCGAGTAAATGGACGGCTATCATTTGTTAGGAAGCTAGGTTTCATCTGGGTGCCTGGTTGGGGTGTGTTTGAGCTGGAGGTATCAGGGGGGATCTGTCTGTGCCCGGGTGTTTGCCTGGCTTGTGGTGTGGAGATTTTTTTGTTTGTGAGTGCAGGCTTCCAAATGATTGACAGTCTGGTGGAATCATCTCTTCTATTCATGCTTTCAGGTCGTTTTTCAATCTCTATGGCTTCTCTGATGATTCTCTGGCTGGGGTTTTCTATAGTGGCTAGGGTTTTGGTGCCATTGAAGTTGATGCTATGACCTGTGGCTTCCATGTGTTGGACTAGTGAGGAAGTGTGTTCCAGCTTTTTGACTGCATTTTTGTGTTCATCCAGGCGGGTACTTATTCTTCTATTGGAAGAATAAGTACTAATAGAAATGGAGCTTTGCACACTTGCACTCTGCTTGTGCAGCCCAGTTCCCAATGGGCCACAGCCTGAAATCAGGCGAGGGTCTCTAGGAGGTTGGAAGACCCCTGCCACATTCCGTATGTACACAATACTAGATGCTTTTCACATCTCTGAATTCTGAAATAATTACCCTGCCTAAACAAACGAGCTCAAAACATCCAAATTAACTATCAAAAACTGATTTTGGAGGAGTGAAGTGCAATAAAGTAGCTGAAATCCTGAAGTTCTACACACTGAAAGAGATTGAGACAGCACCCATATTTAGATTCCTCTTTTAAAAACAAAACCAACCTGAAACTATCATTTGTACTCACAATGTGTTATCTTTGAGTACGAAATGACTCATCTTCTATATTTGTAAACCTTCATTTCATTCATATCTGCGCATAATTTGGTTAGAGCGTTTAGGAAATTACAGGTCCTTTGCTTTTATTATTGTCTGGAATTGTGGTTTTTTTCAGCATCGGTGTCTTAAAAATTATGTAAGCTGCCTGGGTTTGATTTTTCCAAAAGTCTCACAGGCTTTAATAAGCTCACAGACAGAGGAACCAAGATTTATTTTCTGCAGAAAGGTTTATGCCCACCTCCCATACAGCAGAACTGTTAGGCGTTTGCAGCAGAAATTCAAATCTGGAAAACACACAGATGACTGATTCATCAGGATCATTAACTTCTTTATAAACATAATAATATGAGTAAAGTTTACAATACCATTTGTAACATGAGCAAAAACACAAGCAGCAGCAGCTCAGAGCAGATATCAGTTTCAACAAGCAAGCAAGACTAGTTTCAGTTTAGAGCCGAGAGCAGAGCCAAGAGCCATGTTGGCGAACCTAGGCCACACATTCCGGAAGTGGCAAGCAGAGCCATTTCTCCTGGCACACGAGAGGTCTCCCGGAAGAGCCCCACTGCGCATATGTGTGCACGCCTCTGGCACGCATGCGGAGGGGTGTGTGTGGAAGATATGTGTGCATGCGCAGGGATGAGGTGCACGAGGGGGGAATCGTGCGCATGTGCAAGGCGCGTGGGGGACCCAGCACGCATTCCCTTCTGGGTGCTGGAACGCAAGCGTGTGCAAGTGAGCACATGCGCAATTATTGGCACGGGAGCCGAAAAAGGTTAGCCACTACTGGACTAGAGCCAAGAGCCACACCCAAGCTACTTCTAGTTTCACTTTCCAATTCAGCTCCCATTGGCTGGAATGTTGCTGTGCCTATTCATTGGCTGACTTTGTTGCTAAGTTCTATTCCAGTTCACAAATATACTCTGACAAGAACATGGGCATTTCCTTCAGAATTCAAAGGAGTCCCTGCAGATTTTACTACGGTCATGTGGTCACATGACGTCACAGAGTGATGTTACCTTCCCACCAAAGTTGTACCTATTTATCTACTCGCATTTCATGCTTTTGAACTGCTAGGTTGGCAGGAGCTGGGGCGATGACTGGGAGCTCACCCCGTTGCATGGTGCCGGGGTCTCAAACCTGGGCTGCTAGCTTCCAAATGACAAGCCCAGCGTCTTAACCACTGAGCCACTGTGCCACTCAGAATTCAAATACCCCGCAAAATCTTGAGCTGATAAGCTGCAGGACAGGTTAAAACCCACCAGGTCTAATGAAAGATGAGATGGGACTGGTACCAGCACTGCCAAATTTCAACTGCACCCGAAATCCTCGAAATATCCAGCCCATCCTTTGCATTACCCAACCAGGCGTCTACTTGTAGTTGTAAGCTAATAGAGCAATACCAAAACAACCTTGGAGAAGGAATTTAACAGTCAATAATGTGTGAATGGACCCATAAAATGTGTTAGGAAGAGACTATAAGGTGACCCCACATTGATTCACTTTGAGAAGAAGGATGAAGGGAAAACTTTTGAGATTCTGTTGCATCAATACAGCTCCGGGATTCCTGGAAGGGTTGACCTCTTGAAAGACATTTTCTCTTCCTAGTCCTCAAGTTGAGCTTTGACCCTCCAGAGTAACTCCAGGGTTGCTACCAGTGTTAAGTGTTTCATTGGACTGAAGGGGAAACTATTCAATGCAAGGAGGAAGATGTATTAATTGTACTGAATTAAGTAAACTACTTCTTCTTCCAACTTTAAACTGTCAGAATGAGGCTACCTTTCTGGCTTTGTTGTTGTCCAAAAATAAGTCCTTACCAGTACATGTTTTTGGTAGTAGTCAACCAGCAGATAGGCTGGGCTCTGTGTCTCTCCACATTCACATGTGTTGTTATCTGCTAAGAGCTTCTTACTTCAGAATATTGGTTTTACATTTAAGCTCTCCCAACTCTCAACCTACTCAGAGCCCTCCAGGTAGAATAAGGGAGATCAGATCCTTCACCTAGATCCTCCTTTAATGTTATTTCTTGCTTGATGGTCTCCTTCCTCCACCTTTTCATCAGTTTTGTTCTTGCCCTAAAGGCTGTTTGTTCTTGCTATAAATAAAGTAAATTAAATTGGAATAATTTTAAAATGCAAATTAAAACAAAGCTAGCCTTTCCTATTCATTCTTTCTCCTCTCCTCAGCTGTTTTTTCCCCAGAGTGTCTTGGAGATACCATCAGAACAGCCAGCGTGGGCTTTGGTACAAAGAGATCGATATATGCTGTTTTTTTATCACTGTAAAAAAAATTGCAGTCCTTGTTGATATTAAAGTCTTTCCCCCTCACACTGATCAAAATATTAACATCTGAGCTAGATACACCCACCCATTTTTCTCTTCTGCCCTCAATCTGTTTTTCTTACTTAACTTTTTTTTAACTGCAAGCACCGCATGTGTGCATTTATACTTATTTTCTAAATAAATGTTCATGTTTTTCTTGCAAAAGAAGAGTTCCTTGACATACCCCTGACTGCTTCTGTTTCTATAAATAGGTAGTTTTCTCCCCTGTACTTAAATACTTCATCTTTTCATCATCTACTATGTCTATGTTGGTAGGGGTGGGATCTGACCCGGTGTAACTACTGGTTTGGTGATTTGCATTTTGCACTTCTAATTTACATGAAAGCTGGGACATGACCACTGAAGTAAAGACAAGGGTAGAGAAAGCTCGAACAGCATTCTTCAAAATGAAAAAGGTCTTCTGCAGTCACAACATAAGGCTAAGATTGAAAATCAGGCTTGTCAGATGTTACATCTTTTCTATCCTGCTCTAGTAGAGAGTTGGTGTCATGATCTCTACCCACCCACCACCCATCTCCAGTCGGAGTCTGAATCTGGGGGAAGACAAACAGCTGAACAGCTGACAGAGAGCGGGAGAATGGCTCCGTTGGCTGTGGAGGAAACGGGAAGGGCAAAGTCAGGCTGGGCAGAGCAGGGGAGAGGTAGAACAAGGGAGAGGTGGTTCAGATGAAGACCAAGGTCCACCACCTCCTCCTCCTAAGGCATGCAGGGAAGAACGCAGAAGAGAGCAACATGGGTTGTGTGGCTTATGAGGAAG